ACTACTTTCCAATTTATTAAGCACCATAGCATAGTCCAAGAAAATAAAAGCCGCTATCTAAGCAAACACATATTCAATGCTTCTCCTAAGACCCAAGGGAAGACAATTTCCCTAATGGCTGGTTTATAATGATTTCTAGAACAAAGTGTGAGTACAATTATAACTTCTAAAACAGGGCAAAACATGCAAAATCATTCATTCAATTTTTAAATAATATCTAGTCTATGCAAGGAACTCTTAGAGTTATTGAGTGATATTATCCCTCACTTAAATTCAGTTAAGAGATGTTGAAAGGAAAAAAATGAGAGAGCTCTGTGGCCTTTTTAAACTCCACCTCTTGCCTCCTCACTGCTGATTTCCTGTTTTGGATATTTAGATGGGATTGATGTCTCTTATCTAAGTTTTATGGCACCTTTTAGATTAGAGAACTTGGGGAAGGCCTTGTATTTAGTTTTTCACAATAGAAGGATGCATTTACAATATTACATTTTTTAATTTTCATGAAGCTCTATTATAAATAGTGTCAAGATTACCACAATCACAATTGAAAAAGCCTGATTTAAAGCCTTAGTGAAACTTCTACGATGTCAAAAGTGATAATATGCTGACAAGATGCAGAATTCTTATAGATAAGGGTAATGGTAAACTATTACCTAGTGCTTGACTGATGAAGCCACTTTCTTTACAAAACTCCCAACTCTCAAATCCTATCAGTTTAGGAATCAAATACTGCCAATAGGTAATTACAGATATTTATAGGAGTTGAACAATTAGAATCATTGCTGTATTTCATAACTTACATAGTTGGTATCATGATGATATGGATGATGTTTTTGACAGTTCCAGGACTATTTTCCTCTGAGAAATTGGATAGGGCAAGGATACATACTTCTCCAATCTCCCTGACTGACAATAGTTACACATACAAGACTTTTGGATGGAAGGTGGAAGATAAGAGAAGATGGAATCATTCTCAGCTTTGGGATTTGCATAATTCCCAGGGTTCTGGTTTCCTTGTCTAGAGGACATGAAATTAAAGCTGGACTATGAACTTAACAAAGTTAAAGGGTGGACCATTCATGTAGTATGGGAGAATCAAGTGAGGAAAACTGAAGAGTTTGGGCCTGGCCACACTGATATTTCAGGTTCAAATTCATTGGTCTAGAGTGCAGATGACATTACTGCAGTAGAAAGGAAGATTCAAGGGCCAAGAGTGCACAAGGGATTATTGAAATCACACATGTGGACATGACCTTTCAAGGGACTCTAAATTAAGAGAACAACATCAACCACGGGGTCCAAGACTCGTCAACATCTTAGGGGTGGTCAGAAGAAGAAGAAGCCGAAGAAGATAAGGATGAAGAAAGTCAGGGACCTATGAAAGGAGTGGAGTATTTTGCTATTGGGACCAAGAGGAAAAGAAACATCTAGGAGAAATGTTAAAAAGTGTGGAATAAATAAGTACTTTTGCAACACAATTTTATCAGTGCTAAGCAATCATGGATTTTCCAACTTAGCTTAATAAGCCATTGGTATTTCTCATCTATTTAACTTCAGCTATGTTCAGGCAAACTTTTTTTTTTTTTTTTTTTTGGTTTTTGTTTTTTTTCCAGTACCAGCAATCGAACTCATGACCTTGCGCTTGCCACACAGGCGCTGTGCCACCGAGCTAAATCCCCAGCCCCCGGCAAACTTTTAAAACCAACCTTTGAAATGTAACCTTTTTCAGTTTCCTAGGGTGGCTGTGCAAGAAATTGCAAATCTGGTGGCTTAAAAGAGCAGAAATTCATTCTCTCACAGTTTTTGAGGACAAAAGTCTGAAATCAAGCTGTGGTGGGGATTGGTTCTTTCTTAGGAGAATCTGTTACATCTCTCTCTTAGATTCTGGATGAGCAATCCTTGTGTTCCTTGGCATGACACAGAATAACTTGTCTCCATAATCACATGGTGTTGTAGTTTAAATGAACTGTTCCCAGAGGCTTGTGTATTGAGGGTCTGATTTCCAAAGTAGTAACGTCCAAGATGGGTCCTAGAGAGGGGACTGGATCATGAGGGTGCTAACTTCATCGACTGATGAGTTAGTAGCTGACTGGGCTATTAAAAGTGAGTCCTAGTTGAAGGAATTGATCACCAGGGCATGCCTTTAAAGGGTCTGTCTTGCTCTTGACCTGCCCTCTTTTCTCTCTTTCTCTGCTTCCAGGATGCCGTTGAGGTGAATATCTTTCCTCCACCATGGTTCAGCCATGATGCTTCTACCTCACCATGGACCCAAGAAAACTGAGCTAGCTGACTAGACTAAATCCTGTGAAACACTGAGCCACAGCAAAGCCCTGCTTCCTTTAAACTGCGCATGCCAGGTATTTTGTCCCAGCAAAGGAAAGGTAGATAGTACACATGGTGTTCTCCCTGAGCATGTGTCCAGATATTCTTCTTATAGACACGGTGGTCACTGGATTAATCTAGTATGACTTCATTTAATTTGATTAAATTCACAAAACTATTTCCATACAACCTTATTCAGAGGTTTGGATATAAATGAAATTTGGGAAGACACTATTCAACTCAGTACACCCATCCTGGAGGCAGGACCATACATTTACAGATGGTACATCAACTAAAGTCAGCATAAAAGGGTACATTTAAAAATTAGCATGGTACAAAAGTAGATGAATTTTATGTGGGCACAAAGATTTTACTCTCCCATCTTTTTTGACTACTAGGAGCTCAGCAGAAATTCTTCATACTGAACATTTTTTATTTGATGTCTCATCTGCTGTGAAACACCCCTCCCAACAGTTCTATAAATTCTTTCTTTTTCTTTCTTTCTTTCTTTCTTTCTTTCTTTCTTTCTTTCTTTCTTTCTTTCTTTCTTTCTTTCTTTCTTTCTTTCTTCTTCCCTTCCTTCCTTTCTTCCTTCCTCCTCAGGGAAATAATAGAATCAGAAAACCTTTCCCACTGCTAAGGACCTGGCTCCATAGTCTCATAACCATGCAGACCACTATACTAATGGACTCTTTAAAGCTCTAAGTAATAAGAGGTGTGGCAAAGGATCATGCATTAATTCACTAGACAAAAGGTGCCTTTTCTTCATTATCATCAAATATTTACTACACATTATGGTCTTTGTGGCACTGACATAGGGGAAATGAATGTAACTCCCAACCTGGTAGATGTCAGATATGCTGAGTTTGTGTTGCCCAAAATCAAAGAATAAATTTTAAGGAGCAATGGAAGTTACGAGCAGGAAAATTTTATTGAAGGAGATAGCTCCTGAGAGGCAGGAGAGGACCTGACATGGGTTGCCAATAAGCCCACTTCTCAAAGGAAGTTTCATAGACCAAAAATCACAAGCTAGGTACAAAAATCATGAGGTGGGTATAATATAGGTCAAAATTATGATCAACCAATAAGGTTACAAGTACAGTTGCTTAGATAGCATTGATCCAATGAGGAAGCAGTTCATATAGCAAGCATGTATGGAAAGAACAAAGAACTTTTTTAGGAAGGGATGGATTAGGAGGTCAGGGTCACCCACCTGGGTGACCGGTGTCTATCTAGACTTCATTGGACCAGGTGGTAACATTTATCTTATCCCCCGGGGAGGCACGTAGGCCTGGTCATTCCCGTTATATCTTGAGACCAGGCCTTCAACAGATGCGCCTCCAGCCACAGTTGTGTTGTGTTCTCAACCTCTGCACTGACTTCCTCGAAGGCCCATCCTTATCTGAGTGCTTACAATATATCTATCTAATTTAGCTGTCTATAATGGCACCAGTGGATACTAAACGTATCAGGGCCTCCAAAAGTTCCCTAAGAAAACATTAGGGAGGGGCAGAATGTGCACAAACATAAAAGTACGGTAACATTTTGCATTAATAATTCTGACATTACTTAGAGTCATTCTGTCCATTCAAGAAGTGACTCTAACGCATGGTTTGCGGTGGAATCTTCTCGATCATTCTTGGTTTCTTCTCAGCGGCCTTTCATCTGTGACACTTTCCGTGGTCCCCACATCGGAACCAAGCCAGGTCTAGCCGACCATGAGGCCAGCAGAACCCTGTGAACCTCAGCACCTGCCACCCTCTTCTCTGGCCCAAGGCTGCCAGGGAAGGGGCAGTACTAGGATGGTTTAGGTTTTAGACCAGTTCCGGAAGTCACTGTGGCCTCCCATGTTCTATCACATAACTCTAAGCAGATGTGCAATAGTTTTTCCAAGGCCCGGCAGTGTAGACTGGATAGCACTTTAAAGAGGAAACACAAGCCGTGCTGTACCCCAGCTCTGAACTGAGGCTTCGGGACTGTCCCACGGGAAGCCCCTGTCCCACTGAGCGTTTCTGGACGGTCCTGAGCCCAGAGAAGCGGAGGTCCTAGAACGCCGTTCAGACACGCTTGTCTCGCTCTGAGCGCCACAGGTTTGGCTCGGGGCTGGTCCCCCGCCCGGTGTCTGCCGGGCTCGGCGTCCTCCTGCACTTCCTGCCCCGCGCCCCGCGCCCGGTCCGCTCCCCGGGGCTCCGCTCCGCAGGATCCGGCGGCCTCCCCGCCCGGCGCACCCCGCCCCCGGGACCGACCGGAGGCGAATTCCTGTGGGTCCCGGCCGCGCCAGGCGTGCGGAGCGAGACGGGAAATTGCAAAAGTCCTGGCCCTCCGCCCTCGCCGCGGCCTTCCCGTAACTCCCGCCCTCGCCCTCGCCCCGCACCGATCCACAGCGCCGCGCGTCCCCGCCCG